TTTAGCATTTTTATCAAGCATTTAGGCCTACTTGTATTGAGCAATGATATATGTATAATTAAGCTTAAGTATAACGTATATAAATAGTGACATAAAAACACAAATGCAGAAAAGGGTTAAAATAAGACAATATGAACAAGACTCTCTGAATTAAACTTTTGAGTTGCAGATTACCATTGCTGGACTCATTGGAGTACAATCCAATAAAATATGTTAGATGTAAATATATGAGAAAAGAGGCTGACTGTACAAACTGGGTGTGGATAGGTAAAATAAAATTAAGATACCTGAAAAGAAAAGAGATGATGGAGCTGGCCTGTATCGCCTCTTATAATCTGCCCTTCCTACTGTCCTCACTCTGTAGTTTACAGCTACCTGCAATTTTCTTCATTCCAAAACAGCAACTAGCAGCTGCGTTACTTTTGCAGCTAGAACAAGAAGAAAGTTCTGTGGCTGCTACATCTTTGTAAAAGGAATAACACTAATTCCGTGACTTCTTGAGCAGGAAAATGGTCATAGCTGTTCTGCATTTCAAGTGACTCGTCCATGCAAGTGTAGACACACATGCCAAAAGCCATTGCAAATGCTAAAATAAATGGTGCCAGCCAGACTGATCTTTACTGTTTATTGAATCTTAAGAAAAAAAAAAAGGAAATCAGGAATGCTATTTGCTTTTTAAAAAAACAACCCCAGATCATTATATTCTCTGACAAAGCTACACTTAGGGAATCACTCTCTTTAAAAACACTCCCAGTGTACTGTGAGAGCTATGTATCTGTGTAGATTTTGACCCAGCAGGCAGTGTCAAATTCATCGAGTTCATCATAAGCACACTGTATTCTAACAAGATATCAAATAAAATTCTAGATTTCATGATTAACAAAGAATATCATACCCTATGACCCAGAAAAAAAAACATTTAGTTTCTAAGTTGTGGGATCTCAGCAGGCTTTGCTTGTGACAAGAGCAGAAGTTATTTTCTCTCTGTGTTATGTTTCTTTACCAAATGTTTTAAAAATTGCTTAAAGAACCTAAAAGGTCATTTGAAAGTCTTATTTTTACTGTCACTGCCTCCAAATTACATTCCATAACTCAATTTAATGTGATCTGCAGCAGGCCAAGATTTTTACAAGCCAAGATATTATGTCTAGTCCAGTTAGAGACAGGACAGAGTTCAGTGAGGAGGGGAGAGTGAAGATCTAGTTTAAGAAATGTAATTTTGCAATGCCTATAAAACAAGGAAGGAAAATATCTCTCTGCATTCAATTTTGATGACTGAACATGTTCATGACCTTTCCTAAGGTAGAGAAACCCTACCAAGCGCTTTATGAGGAAATAGACAAACGTCTGAGGACATCTGTTTAACAGCATGTCAAGACAAGGTTCACCAACCTCCCATAGTAGTCCCTGCTCCTGTAAATTACTCATCTTTCTCCTGGCTTCATCACCCACAAGCCTTTATAGTCCATAAACCAGTACAGAGAATAGTGGGGCTGGAGCTTTTTCTTGTGTTACTACTGATACTGCATCCATCCTTCAGATGAGGAAATTTATTGTAATTTACACATATTAGATATAAATTTTATAGAGAGACCTTTTATCAGACCACTTTCATATCTATAAGTACAAAATATGTTGAACTAGAAGTGGCACAGAACTTAATCTGTGTCAGATTGGCTTGTTGCATTGTAGGGACAAGAAGTCACTCATTTGAGTCTGGACCGTGATTTTGTCAACTGTTACTCTTCCAGCTGCATGTTGATAGTGGACAGCTTTAGTCTTTCCAGTAGTCACAGTACCTTGCAGTATTTGGTCCCACACATTTAGTTTATACAACTCAGCATCCATCAGTGTTTATGTGAACCATTCTGACACTGAAAAAATTCTTCACATTTGCTTTTTTATGAACTATTTTCTTGACAATCTTATTATGACTACCAAAGTCCCACGTTGTTTGGAGTTCTTATCTCCTAACTGCTGGCCTTAAAAGCGTAGGTCACTGGAATATCTTAAATCCAAGTTATCTTTCTCTGTGTTATAGGAGAGTTGAGGTAAGTTAAAATAATTGACTGAGGGTTGTAAAGAGATTGTTTTGTTTCATTACAGCTACATTTGTCCCAGCAATTCACTG